GAGAATGACGCACCATTCGTGATGGATGGAGATCTGCTCAGAGTTGGTTTAATAAATTTTCATCTAAGGATGTCCTTGATTTGTTTGACCTTGATCTTTGCTGAAATCTTTGAAATTTAAGTACTTTTCGAAAAAAGTTGATTTGCCGACTTAAATTGCACAATTTAGGTAGCTTCACATTTGTCTGCTGGTGAGACAAATCTTACTGTGCGGGCAGAAACCGAAAATGCTCATTCGGATCACCGACTGAAGGTTGTGGTGATGTTTGATAGAGATAAGTATCCTGTCTTCCCGCAGCTCACCTATGATATCGACGTAAGCCCTTAAGTGCATTTTACAATATGTTTCTCCAATCATGATATGGATATGCCTTCCAGAAACAGGGAATAGTGGACATCAGTGTTTCAATGCGAATAATTCATCACTTTTTGATAAATTCATTAGCTTCACATTACGATCACCTGCTTGATTATTAGCTTAAGCGCGATATATTTTGTCAGAACTATGATTTCGGTTCCCAAAAAATTTTTTTGAAATAGCTGAGCGAAATGCGTCGGCGAACATTATTGAATATGAGCAGAATGAAATAAAATTGCGTGCTTACTACTTTGAGGCACCCCTATGATGCAATGAAAGCTAGTACAAGCATGAGGCTATAATGTTATAAAGAAAAATCTGCTAATTCCTTTTTCTTGGAGATATAGTCCCAAATTACTCGTAGTTTGCAAATTTTCGGGATTTCTAACATCGATTTTATTTATTTGTGTCATGCAAGATTGTAATGTGCATGATTCACCTAAAAAAGCATCCAATTTAGATCCCAATAGATTCCATGTTCCCGCTGATTGCACACCGATTTGATGCACATCTCTTGAACGGCACACTTAGGTACCGCTTCTTTCCAGATGGCACAGCTCCTCAGGGTCTTCACATTCATCCTAATACGGTAGGTTGAACACTGAAATTCTCTAGTTATTTGCTTGTTCTTATTGTATCTTTAGGGTGAACTATCCGTCACTTCTGACTACGTTAACACTCCGTCAAATCACGACACTCAGTTTGTCGTTGTTCGAGCAGTAAATCTAAACTTCCCAGAATTTTATTCAGACGTTGGGGTAAAATAATTTCGTAGCTTTTTGATGTACATATTGCAAAAGTTTAAGACGGCTATTTAGGTGGCTATCAGTCTGGTCTCCAGCAAAACAATTCGGTTTTCTCAAACCATTTACCGAATGCAACTCACAGAAAACACTCCTATTGGAACAGCGCTTTTCCCACCAATTGAGGTAAAGTGCTTTCGAGAATTTTCGCAGCAATTTCCAGCAATTTTCAAGAAAATTGTCGTCAGCTCC